AAAATCGATGTATGATGCAGACGAAGATTCCGATCAAGGGAAGGTTTGCGTTCGGGATCTTACTTTACAGGTTAGTGTAACTTTGAGTCAGATTATATAAGATAGGTATTCAGAAACCTCTTCCTCTCGATAACAGCCACATCGTCTGCACAGACTATCAACCGACAGCCCCTCTTCTCCCGCTCCTATGCTGAAAACAGGCGATGTCCTATTCAGCGGCGACAGTTCTGTCGTAGAGCAAGTTGCAGATGAGCCTTACTAGGCTCATCTAAAAAATTTACTCTTTCCTCTTGCTTTCATATCGCAGGCCAATAAATTTCACCAGCATCTTCAACGGAAATGAAAACAGACATTGGCTTGAAGTTCCTAGGTAAAACTTAAGAAATCTTTTCAGCCTTCGGGATAGACATTACTCTGACTCACGCAATTTTAATATATTGGTGCCAAGACGACCCACCTACTCCCATTTGTAGCTATATATGAATCATGTCGTCCGATCCAGAATATTGTACGAATTTTTCGACACTGATTTTACAGCCGGTCTGGAAAACAGTGCAACTCGTGTATCTTACCCCGAAGACTGCTTATATGTCTAAATTCGAAGTATGTATTTATGACACCCTTCTATGTTCTTGCAAAAGATTCTGCCTGAAAGTCTCTTCGACTACCTCACTTCGGATATGTGTCGATTTGCTTACTTAATGCCTTCTCCGGGATTTGACGTGCTGTGAAAATCTGGTCAATTGTAAGACGGCTTATTCCGCGATAGCTGGCGCAAACGGCGGGATCTACTTTCTTGTGCATTGGACAAAGTACACTGAGATTCGAGTCTTCGGGCATATATTTTAATCAGGCCAAATTCTGCTTAACAGCTGGTACATGCGCCACACAAACTCTTCGCCACCGGCTTTGAACAGCTAAGCCGGTATACCGTCGGCTCTAGGGGTCTTGTTGTTCTTAAGCCGCCTTATTGCTATCCTCTCCTCGTCTTGGTCGATTGGAGTGACGTGAGCTGCGTGCCTATACATTGGTTCGGGTTCTACTTCATCCACCGCGCTACCTGTGCCGCCACTAAAAAGCGTTGAGAAGTATTCCCTCCATATCTCAAGTGTATTTTGGACATCTGTTACCAGATTTCCATCTTCATCTTTGCAGGAGCTAGCCCCTGTCTTAAAACCATTTGATTGCTGCCTGATTTTCTGATAGAATTTTCGGGCCGCATTCCTGCTTGCTAGCATCTCAAGCTCTTCGCACTTACACCTTTCTTTTATTTCTCTCTTCCCTCCTTTTTTCCCGATCTCGCTCAATTGTTGCATGTGTCGCCGTTGGCTGCATGATAGCTTTGTATGCTGCGTATTTTTTTTATGCAGCAGCCGCGCGGCACTTTTCGTCTAACCAGTTGTTTCTGTGCGGTTGGTAATAGCCCAACCTCTTCCTCAGCGGTATGTCCAGGAGTTGCTTGCTTAAACAGGATCTCAATCCTCGATTGCTAAATTTTCCGGCTGTCCGTTGTGACTGCAGCTTTGCGACGTCGTACTTTCGCTGCATTTCCTGACGCTCGTTTTTTATTGCACACAGGCGCATGCGGAGTAGAGGCTGCAGTATACTGCACCGAACCGAAAATCCATACGCCATTTAAGCTGCCAGATCATTGCAGTATCTCTCAAGCGGAGGATTTGGCAATAAAACCGTCCACCTCTATTGGGTCTCAGGATACAAGGCTGTGGAAGGTAATGAGAGAGCTGTCTAGCTAGCCAAGTAGGGCATCCTCTTAGACGCCTTTATTAGCGACTTCTCTTCGGAAAATCAAAAGATTACAAGATCTTCTCATCTACCGCAAGGCGGATAGGTTTTGGAAAAACACTCAGAGTTGTAGCTCTTATATGATAAGAAACTTACTGATTTCCTAATATCAACAAGAGGAACGGACGTTTAAGTCAGTAATTGACAAAGCACCAAAGCACTGATTCACGAGTTGTAGATGTATCTGGCAACAATATAGACGTTAAATTCGTCTATGCGAGACCTCTTGAGGTCAGCCAGCATAACCTAACCTAACACTTTGTCTAATGCTGGCCGATAATACCACATTTTAATTTCGCACACATTTTAACCTTATTTATTACATATTTGTTTCCATGAATCGATGAACTTGTCCGCTCATTGTTGATTGAACATACTACATATATGTATGTAAATGTGCACATTCGCATGATTTGAGTTGAGCGAACACACAGCCATATGTAAATGCATGTGCATACATTTGTATGTATTCGCCCGAACACACCATTTCTGAGTACTGTACATTAATGTCACCGTTTTTGTTTATTTTGCTATATTCAGAAACCATTCATACATCCCCACTTACATATGTATGTACATACATGCATACCCATATGTGCATTCATAAGTATGTATCTGTATGAATGTTGTACAATATAAATCGCATACGCCATACGTCGACGTTCCTTTCTCAATCAGCAACGTACCAACGTCAACGTCGTGAACACCAACGCCTCGGCCGGTCGGTAGGTACATATGTATGTAGTTAGGTCGAGGCTTGGTTGTTTGGTCGTTCATCCTCACCAAGTCATAGCTGTCGTCTTCCTCTGCTACTTTCTGACTGACTGTTGCGCTGCGCTTCGGTGCTAAAATCACCGTCAGGGTTGCCGTTTTGGGCTTTTCCTAACAAAATTGGTAGGTTTTCTTTTCTCTTTGTTAAGATGGTAGGACGCTTAAAATTTTGGTAGGTTTCTTTGCTCATAAAACAGAAAACATCTCTGGCTTGTTGTAATGTGTCACTTTGTCAGCACTGTGAGTACGCTTGCCAAATTTTGACAATATCAATTTTATCCCCGTTCATTTAAAAACCTCGTTGCTTACTAACTATAAACTGCGAATTTTGTTTGCCACTTTTTCGGTTTTTCGCAATGTACTCGAAATTTTGAGGGTTTAGAAGTCAAGCGGATCTCAGATTCGGATTCCGTGGGTCGAAATACATGTCGGTAGGTGGGTCTGGTTAAAAGCACACACGCTATTATTCTGATCTTTTTGTTTACTGGATCTTATTTTAAGTACAAAAACCAGGAAAAGTAAATGTATTTAATGCTGTCAAATGCCATTTTCTTGACTAAAAGAAATGGGAGGAAAGGAGCCATTTCGATAGATTTTTGAACCAGCTCTTGGTATGAAACAGAGGTGTTAAAGAATGCAATCATTTGTAACTAAATTATTCATTTGACTGAAGTCCCGAGTGATTACAATCATTTTTTGTTAGTCCTGACCAAGACTAAAAAGAATTAGTCTATATTCTTTCTTTTGATTTATGATTCATAAATCACTTTTTTATTTATTTCTTGTTAGTCACTTGATTTCAGCTATTGGATTGCATTCTTTTAGTCACTTTTTGTTAGTCATTTGATTTCAGCCATTGGAATGTATTCTTTTGCAGTACTTTGAATTTTTTTCAGGGACCGAGAACGCGTTCTGGTTTTGGTTTCTTTCTGCATGAAACCAAAAGATAATGTAAAAAAAAATGTGAACAAAACTCTAGGGAACGTTCTCAAGAAGAACAGAATGAGAACGAAAGTACCGAGAACAATTTCAAGGAGGATCGAATAAGAACAAAAGTCTGCGAAACGTTCTGCTAGAGAACAAAAGTTTTGAGAACTTAATGTTAAGAATGGGAGGGACATCCGCGTGTTGAGATGCGAAATCGTTTCAGTGAAAAGCCTGACTTTTAATTCGAAGCCAGAAAAAGTCTTGATCATTTCAACTTCAAGATCGTTTCTTGTTAGTGTGAACTGTCCATTTCTGGAATAATTTATCAGTTTCTGTGCAAGAAAAGTTCGTGTCGTAAGTCTTTCGTTCAGAATGTTCAAATTACATTTGGAAGGCTTTCTGACAACAATTCCGAAAAATTGCTGTTGCTGAAAGTTAACGGTGACGTATAAATAACTTTCAAGGATCATTGTTATTTTTTTTTGTGAACATGTCCTCATGCACTTTGTTATGCACATATAATAAAAACAAATTCATTTCATTGGAAGTTACTGGAATTAAGTTTCTAAATATTTTATATACTACTGGAGTTTTAATTAAGTTTTTTGTGTACTCATTTATTTTCTAAACAAATTAGTATTATAATTCTATGAAGAAGTGAACGCAAAGATTGCTTTAGATTTTCATTATTCACCTCAGACTGCAAAAATTACTAATTAGTCATGAATAACAGAAAAGACTAATGACGTCAACTTTGCAGTCTTTAGTCAAACATGTGATTGATTGACTGCAGTTAAAAAGTGTTAGTCAGTGAATGTGACTGCAACGATTTAAAGTCACGAAGACTGCATTCTTTAACACCTCTGGTGGGATTTTTCAGTGGTAACCCTGCTCACAATCAGCTCGGCACCAAGTTCCACATATGTACGTACACCGCTTGTTGCTGTTGTTGTTGCTGTAAGTTGGTTGTATTCCCATGCTGTCGCTTCTTCATCTTTTTGTACCTTTGTACATATCCATACTGGCACTGCAGTTGCTGTTATTGTTGTTGTGGGTTTGTGGGTTGTTTGCTGTATCATGCCTATCTGCATGACTGGCTAAATTGGTGTGAGTGGTGGAGTACTAAATGCTGAGTGGTAGTGGTAAGTATTCATTCGGCTTTATTTGGTTTGATTTGACTAGCTTTGGTCTACTGTTGTGTCAGAGAGCCGACTGCTCTACCTGCCCCCTCCCACCCCACAAACATGCCACTCTTCATTTGTGGCAGGGGGTGGCGGTGACGTTGGTGACGTGGTTGTTGGTATGTACGCGTTTTGGCATTACTGTTGCTTGTAACTGCTTTGGCTTGTCTTCTGTTGTTGTTGCCGTTGCTGTTTCTGGCGCAGTCGTTTAAGTTATTGTTTTTATTGCAGATTTTGTTGCTGTTGTGTTGGTACGTATTGCCATCGTTGTTGCTGCGTTCTCCTGATTTGGCCTGGCCTGTGCTCTTCGTGGCCGTGTCACATTTAGTTTTGTTCGGTAATTCGGCGCGTAAGCAGCAAGAAAATTAGAATTTTCCGTATTATCGCATTTTGCAGCCAATAATCGCCAGTCGGTGTAATATAAAGCATTCGCAGCAAAAACACAAACAACAAAATTAATAAATTCAAAAAAAAAAACGCTCCGCTGAGACTCGTTCGTCGTTTTAAGGCAATCGTGTAGTGCGAATTTACGCGGCGGTGCTGCATACTACATATTTAGAGTGTTGTTGCTTATTGCCGGCAGCTTAGTTAGTTAGCTCGTGCCCCCAATTGGTGTTAGTGTGAAAGAGCGCGAAAGCGTGAAATTAGAAAAGTACTACCATAATACATAATACCTAATAATCAAAATCGAAAATAAACATTTTGACTAATCGCCCAATTTTCCATATCTACATAGTATACGTGCGATATACCTGCATATTTGCTTGCGTCACACTTGCCTAAATGACATACTACATATCTAACGGTAATTTTAAGTGCGCACCACTCTCTGTGTATCAGTGCAAAATTAACGATGAAAATTCATAAAACTCGAGTTAATCTTGTATCTAATTGTGGATGGCTTTATTGACACTTTCTGTAGAGGCTCTTCAACTTCGCTGTCAGTGTTCGTAAGTTAAGCTCAATCTCGCGTGCGTTTAGTAAGCGAGAGAGAGAGAGATGCTTTTATTATATGGATTTCAGTTTGTTTTCCAACACTTAATGACCATTGTGGGCATAAATGCTACGATTATCCACTTTAAATGGCGCTTTAATATGCTAAATGTTTATAGCTACTCCAGCGTGTAGACAATAATTTCTGGTTGTGAATTTTTTTCTAACATGAATTGATTCAATTCAAGTGCCAGTGAAATTAATCTTATAGCTTAGGCTGACGGCAACGCGAATCCGGATTAACAACACAGTTGATACGATCAAAATTTTACCCGACAGACGGCAGTGTTGCGGATTAAGCGAGCCGTGGGGTCGTTGGTTCGAATCACATGGCCAACAAAATTTATATAAATATATTTTTTAAATTACTTTACTTCTTACATACTTTTTTTTCTTATGCAATTTTACATACTAAATAGTTGGTGTGCACTTTTCTTTAAATAAAATTTAGCTTTAGCTCGTAGGAGAGAGAAATGCTTTATGCACTGACCGGCGAGAAATTGTGTCAGGTAGAAATCGACTTCCCCGTGCAGTCTTTTCAAACATGTTTGGAGGTCGGTTATAAGGGTGAGCGTCCACTGACCTTTGGTTTTCGCATTCCAGTTTTGTATCCACTGCTGGAGCAACCTTGCCGCGGCAGCTGCTCGACCTATCTCGGCACTGAGATTGTAAATCTCTTTTCGCTCGTAAGCAAGTAGCTCAATTGGCATGACACCAGAAATAACTAGAACCGCGTCCGCGGACACTGTAAAGTATGCAGAAACAATACGTAGTGCCCCTCTTCGCTGGACCGAAGACATTTGGATCCGGTATTTTTTGACTTTCTATGAGTCGGCCCATATTTCTGCCCCGCACAGGAGCACCGACTGGACTGTTGTAATCGAAAGTTTCCTTGGGCATGGTTTCGGGCCGCCCACGTTCGCCATCAGCCGGCTTAGAGCCACCGTTCTCTGCGCAGCTTTTTCACATACTCCATGAATGTGGTGTTCCCAGAATTTGAGTTTGTTATCAAGCTTCACCTCTAGGTATTTTGTAGACTTAGAAGCTGTCACGGGCTGAGGTCCGACCATCATGTTTGTAATTGTTGGGAACCGTTTCTTGGTGAGGAGCACGATCTCTGTTTTGGCTGTAGCCAATTTCAGATCGTGATCATTCATCCATCCACTGTCGCTGCGCATTACCTGGTTCAGCTTGAGCTGCGCCAGCTGGATGGTTGTTGCTAGTATGACAAGGAAGGCGCTCTCCGGCATTTCCGTGCGCAACAGACTGTCATACGTGGCGTTCCAGACGTCCGGGCCAAGTACAGACCCCTGTGCCTCTCGGCCGGTTATACGTCTCTTTCTCTGACCTTGTTTTGTGTCGTACAAAAACTAACGGTCTTTAAGGTAAAATTTAGTTAAAATACATAAATAATAAACTAACATTTCAATCAACTTGAAATAATAAGGTAAAATAATAGATACAAGATAAAATAAAATAAAATGAAATGAAAGTAAATTAAATATTGTAAATAGGTACATTCTGCTAACAATATAATTGTGAAAGTTTATGGGTTTGTGAGATTGGATGTTTGTGGCTTAATTACGCGAAAACGACTAAACGGATTTGTTGAAATTTTGCGCAAAGATAGTTTATGACATGTATTGCGAAATTTGCTACTTCTTTTTAACGCTGAAAAGATAATCAGTTTTACGCAGACGCATGCGTTTTCGGCATATTTGTCGTTCTTTCAACGTAGCGCTAGTTTGATATATTTTTGTTCAATAATACATACATAAAGCCATATTGCCTTATTCGAAATTAATCAATAAAATACGACAATATTGCTGATTGAAACGTATGCTTCAATTATACGCATGATTATCTTTTACGTACGTCAGAATATTATTATCTCTTTAGGGTTAAAAGAGTTGCCACCTCGATTTTACTTGACATTAGGTACATAAATAGCTTATTTCCTGGATTAGTATATGTATATGTAGGACACTTTTTTCCAGTAGTTGGACTAGATTTCCTTGAAATTAGGTTCAATAGGCGGCCATTTTGGTCAGTGTTATTTATCATCGAAAATACCCATGATTCGCATAAATTTTGAAAATTAGCTGTAGACTTTAATTCGGATAAACTGTAGCTATTTCCCAAGGTAATATGTAGTGAATTAACGAGTGGATGCGGATCAATACTGCCGTCTGTCTATGCTTTTACCGTTTTGCTTGTCAAAGCGGGGGAAAAATGTGGTTCCTTATTGGTTTTTAATTAACGACTAGTTAATATTTGTTGTGAAAAATGAAATGTTTCGAAGAAATTCCAAAACTAAATTGACTGAAACCGAAAAAAAAACTAAAGTGCCATAAAAAGTATGTACAAGTAAGTATGTATGTATTAAGTGCATCTAACCGCGTGTGCTAAGTTTCCTGTGAATGTGTAATTTGCCTTGCATTGACATTTTCTGACCAATGCATCTAACGTTGGGAACTTTTGGACGTAGGCTTCAACAGACTCTGAAGGATCGAAGGTCCTTCCACCTGCGAGATAAGTCTTGTTTAAGTGATGTTGAAAAGTACGGCGCTTGACAAAATTTAGAGGCAGAAAACGTAGGGACGTGAACCGGTTTTGAACAGGATACCCGGTTTTTTCTATTAATTGACTGAACCATTAACCGAACCGAAACTTTCCACAATTTTTTTATCCGAACCGAAAAGCGAACCAGTTTTCATAAATGTTTAAAGGTTCGTTTCAACCAATTTTCAATAGTTAAATTTACCCGCTTTTTTTTCTTTTCGTTAAGTATGGTAATACATACCATGTTTGTTTACCGTGTTGCAATATCAAATGTAAAGGCAACCCATCTCATTTGACAGACAAATGACACTTAACCCTGCACGTTGTTGCACTTGACACTTAAACTTGCGCGTTATTTTTTTATTTTTTTTATTCCCGAACCGTTGAACCGAACCGAAACCCCGGTACAAAGGCCATAAAACCGCTTTGACGAACCAATCCAAAAGTGCAAAAACGGTTCGAACCGCTGAACCGAACCGACCAAATTTATCATCCGGTAACACCTCTAAAACCTGTTCGAGTTATACTACTCCACGATGGGGGTAGCTCAGTTGAACAACCAAAGTCAAAATAGCTCTTATTTCAGATTTGCACAGTGGAAATAGAGATATGCTTTATGAGCTAAGGGTTTGCTTCCTAAATATAGAAGAGCCCCTTTAATAACACGGAGCTTTCTCTGACCTGCACTTGCGTTCAAAGGGGTAGATGAAAGAAAACATATATGGCTAAATAACAGTGCTTTCCAATCAAAGAAACATTCGTCCACTCTAAAGCAGGAAAAGGTCAGATTTCTAACCAAAAAAGTTATTTCACCTATTAGATCGATGGTATGAATGACCTACTTTACCAACTTAAAGACAAAGGCAAAGCTCAAGACTACGCCTAAACAGAAGTAAATTTTGAGAAACAATTTCGAACTAGCTTATTATAATCGCGATAAGGTTCAGTCAAAATGAAATAAATGTAAATCCGAAAAAAACTGACAGCGCAGTTTTCTGTGGAACAGGAAAAGGAAAAAACTAATCGAACAAATGGTTAGATTCCTAGAATCAAGAGAGACTTCTCTAAAGATGTACAGTTCTCATTTAACCCATTAAAGTCGTAGCTTGTGACATTAAGCCCAAGCTGCCATTGTCAAACCCATCCTATCAGAGGTCTGTCTGGTGCAATGAGACAGAGGTGAAATCCAAGCTTTAGGCTGAAAAACCTACAAAGGTTCATCTGTCTGGGTATCACCGGTTCGGTGAGAACTTCTCCACCCACGGTCTGGTCCTGGAAGCGCGTTACCAATTATACATCCACTGTAGGTCGCTGAATATAATCATTAGGAAAGAAGTTTTGCTTTTTACAACCGGACTCAGCTCATGAGGACGGGCCAAGGTGTCGAAGTAGTGGTGTATGATTTAAGTAGAGCGGGAGTGGACTGCATTACTCTAGCTCAATTCCAAAAGACATTTGAATTGTTGTGTTGTTTGGCTGAATATTATCTAAACTAGTTGTGTTCTGCATGTATGTATGTATATCCCGAAATTTCAAGTCAATCTGGTTCTCTTCGTTCTTGCCTTAACCACGGAGAGGCAGATTGACATGCATATAAGAAGCAGTATTTTTCGAGTCTTGGAGTTGTGGTCATAAACGACTAGCTAGAGAAGCCAGAAAACTGGTGCTGCCGGGTGAATGCCTATGCGGATGGTGTTGCACTTTTGGCTATCTCGTGCTGTTCCAAGAGGCTGGAGATGGAGACTGTAGGATTGTACTGATCTGAGCCAAAACTACGTATATTTGGTGACTAAGTAGTCTCCGAAGAGTGGAGTCGCTGAAATTCTAGTAAGACGACACTTTTAGTTCATTAGGAGCTAAATGATACTTCATGCGATTTTTCTCTCAAATTCTGCTGCGAGGAAGCATTCGATAAAAGGTGGGTCGCCGCCGATAAAAGGTGGAACCCGCGAATGTTGGAATGCGCTGGGAGCTTTTTCAATCAGTATTTGGGCACTTTAGTGTTCCTGGAAGTTTCGATTACGTCGCAGCACCGGGGAGCTTTCCGCGGCTATGTCGATGCTTCACGGAACAGTCGGCACATTTGTTGGAAACTATTTATTAACCATAAGTTGAGGCTTTTAAAGCACGGTAGCTTTTTGCAGGCAGAAAATAGTCGATTGGCTGCTCAGTAGTGGATTTTTATTTTGAACCGAACCGAACCCTTTTTCTGGGGTGGTTTTCGGTTCGGTTTTGGCATTTTCAAATAAAAACGGTTCGGTTCGAAGCCCGAAAAAAGCGACGGTTTGGTTCAAAACCGGTTCGGTTCAAAACCGGTTTGCAGCCCTGCTTAAAATATCAATATCATGGGGCACCCCTTTATTTTGTTAGTAGCAGATCCACGAAATTTTATAAA